AGTTTAGAGGGGGTTGTTAGTGGTTAGTTTAGAGGGGGTTGTTAGTAGTTTAGAGGAAGTGGTTAGTGGTTAGTTTAGAGGGAGTTGTTAGTAGTTTAGGGGAGGTGGTTAGTGGTTAGTTTAGAGGGGGTTGTTAGAAGTTTAGAGGGGGTGGTTAGTGGTTAGTTTAGAGGAGGTGGTTAGTGGTTAGTGGTTAGTTTAGAGGGGGTGGTTAGTGGTTAGTTTAGAGGAGGTGGTTAGTGGTTTGTTTAGAGGGGGTGGTTAGTGGTTAGTTTAGAGGGGGTGGTTAGTGGTTAGTTTAGAGGAGGTGGTTAATGGTTAGTTTAGAGGGGTGGTTAGTGGTTAGTTTAGAGAGGGTGATTGGAGGGGTTGCTGTTGTGAGCTGTTATTGAATCAGGGCTGACTCAGGGTGACCCTGTGTGCAAAGTAGCCTTCTCAAAAGTCCATAGAGGTAGAAAGCAGGCCATTCACCTTCCATCCCAAGGCATCTCTGGGTGAATTCAAGTTGTTTACTTAACCATGAGTAGCACCAAAGGACATACCAGAGGAAAAGGGGATGAAAAATAATTTCTCCATTTTTTCTGGATGTTGACATGAATACGAAAAGCTGTAGAAAAACTGATGATCTGAACTAAAGTGCTGGTGAAGAATATAAAAAGCAAACCAAGGGCTATCAAAAGAACAAACAGGTCTGTCTTGGAAGAAGTGCAGCCAGAGTGCTCCTTAGCAGTCAGGATGGCGAGGCTTTGAGTCAAGGTGTTTTGGACATGTCATCCGGAAGGGCCCATTCCCGGAGAAGGATACCATGCTTGGCAAAGTAGAGGGCTGTTGGGAAAGAGAAAGACCCCCGAGGCGATAGTGACAGCGACAATGGGCTCAAACAGCAATGATTGTGAGGATGCAGGGCCGCCGGGCAGTGTTTCTTTCCATTAACATGGCGTCGCTGTGAATTGGAACTGACTTGATGGCACTTAACAACGTATAGAATTGAGAAGCCCAATGGACATCCTTATGGACATCTTACCCTTTGACCCCTGAAGATTGAGAACATGAATGTGCATGGGGAGCCAGCTCTGTCCTGAGCTAGGGGACCTGGAGCGGGCACGGAAGTGTGATAGTGGCTCTCCTAGCTAGATCTACCTCCTAATCCTTGGAACCTGTGACTGGTACCTTATTTGGAAAATCAAATGTGACTAAGATAAGCCAATTAAAAAACAAACAAAACCAAATTCACTGCCACCGAGTCGATGCCAACTCAGAGTGACCTTGCTGTGGGTTTCTGAGACTGTCACTATTTACAGGAGTAGAAAGGCCTGGCTTTGAGCTGCTGCTGATACAGATCATAGGCCAACGTGCAAGCCCTATACCATGAGGGATCCTGTGATTATGATAAGGATCTTCAAATGAGAAGATTATCTTGGATTACCTGGCTAGGCCCCAAATGAACACCCCCCCACCCCCCCCCAAAAAAGGTCAACTTCACTGCCATTGAGTCAGTTCTTACTCAGAGACAGGAAAGAGTCTCAGTAACCCCCAGGGGCCCTTCTCCCCTGTCCAGCAGGGTCACTATAAGCCAGAAACAACTCAGTGGCAGTGAGTTTGTCTTTGTGTTTGGGGGACGGCGGCGGGGCGCTAGCAGAACCTGGAAGAAGAAGACTCCCCTAGAGTCTTCAGAGACAGTGTGACCCGACGGGCACGGATTGTGGTCCAGTGATACGGATCTTGGGCTTGTGTTTTCCAACCATGGGGGAACGGTGTCTATGTCTTAATCCACCCAGTCGACGGTACGCTGTTCCAGCAACCACGGGAAATGAACACAGACAGGCATGCACTCACTTCCAGCTCCTTTTCCTCGGCAGTTTCCAGGAACAGATCTGGGCGGAAGGGCTTCACTCCTTTGGAATGCTCCACTCTGAAAATCTTCTCTGGAAGGGTGACAATAATTCACATGAGGAGAAAGGGGGCAGCATGGGAAGCTTCAGGAGTAGACTCCCTCTACCCAAAACGGCTCATCAGCCTAGTCAAAACTGTTTCCAGACAGGCCAACACTCAGTAGACAATGCTCCAGAAATGAATGGACCATCCGGTGAAAGGGTCGCATACCTACTTGATCCAGAAGGGTACCTTAACTTAAGGTCCTTTCCCTTTAGAACTCAATTCAGAGCGAACTGCCTTCAGTCCATTTCTTCTACCAGCAGCTCGCCCTGTCCTTCCTCCATCCCTTAACCTCCCTCTTCCCTGCCTGTTCCCACCAGACAATTAAGGGCTAACACATAAAAAGTGGTCAACAAATGAGGATCAAATGCATGAGATAAAGCAACATTTCCTCTGAGAGGACAAATGACAAAAGCGATAGCTATTTTCTTAGTGAGAACTAAAATATGTGTGTTGTCCTGCTAGAGGGATTGGGAGGAAAGTGGAACATTGTAAGGGAACCAGCCTTAACAGCCAATTATATTGATAATAATGGTACCTGGCAGTGTGACATGTTTTTAAAAACACTTGAAAATGTGACGTGCCGATATGTCAGTGCTTTTGCAGATGACGGACCAGAGATGAGATCACAAATGGATTCATGTCCATCAACCTAGGATGCAGGTTGGCTGGTCCCAGTGGCGGCAACTCTTACCATTCTGGTCTCGGCAGCTGAGCGTGTAGAAGGTTTCTCTCCGGAGGATGATCTCCTGAGCGATGATCCCATAGCTGTACACATCTCCTTTCTGAGAGACGTTGGCTTGGCGAAGTTGTTCTGGAGCCGTCCACAAGTCTGAGCGTTCCACCATTGAAATGGAAAAGAGAGGGTGGTGAGTGGCCCGTGGGTCTCCAGCATAAATTTTGTTCTGTAACTCCTCATGCCATCACCATGACTATGGGTGGCCTTGAACGTATATGGTCCCAAATGCTTGAGCAGTGGATTCTAATACTGGTGCTAGAGAGTACAACATATACTTACCTTTGAAACGGACTGTGTCATGCCAGGATTTGCATGAGGTCCAATAGCAATATTGCCTCCAAAATGCTAGAGTCACAGTCCTGCAATCCTAGACCAAGACCTGATGTACAGCTCCCTGGGTGACGTGACCCTTTAAGGCAGTGGGTTGCAACCCCTTTGGGGTCGAAAGACCCTTTCACAGGGGTCGCCTAAGACCATCAGAAAACACATAAATATTTCACAAAATATAATTACATATTGTTTTGTGATTAATCACTATGCTTTAATTATGCTCAATTCCTAACCATGTAAACATATCCTGCATATCAGATATTTACATTACGATTTATAACAGTAGCAAAATGATAGTGATGAAGTAGCAAGGAAAATAATTTTATGGTCGGGGGTCACCACCACATGAGGAACTGTATGAAAGGGTTGTGGCAAGAGGAAGGTTGAGAACACTGCTTTAAGGGCTGGGCTACTAATTGAAAGGTTGGCCTTACAAATTCACCCGAAGCTCCTTGGAAGAAAGGCCTGCCAATCTGCTTCTGAAAGACCATTGCCATGAAAATCTCGAGTACAATTCTACTTTGTAGTACGGGATCGTCATGGGATAAAATGGCAACTTGTTCTTTTAGTTTGGTTTCGTATAGTAAGTGCACAACAAATATTTGTTGAAGGAATGCAATAGAACAGGGGTGTCAAACTGGTGGCCCGTGTGCCGCATGCGGCCCCTGAGGTAATTTTTTGTGCTCTGAAATAAAATGAAAATAGAAAAAATTGTTATGAAGAAAATAGTGCTTAGGGGAAATTGAGGCAATACCATACACACAATTCCCTCATTAACCCTTTAACTACCGAAGACGAGTATACACAGTGCCTTTCCTGGGGGGGCCTGTAGACATGGATAAATGCGCTGACTCAGTTCTGGTGACGATTGGAAGTGATCTGTCTGCCACTCTCAGTGTCATATATTGGAAACAGATCCCAATAGCGAAAAGGTTAAAAAGAGCACTCTGGGTTGTGCTGTTATGAATCATACCTAGCGGCCGTGCTAGTTAACATTTTTAGAGGGAAGCCATTACGATTGTGCATCACGTTTGTCAGCTGTCCAACATTTTGTTGTTTTTTATTAGTTACTTTGTTATAGTTTCCGGTCACAACATTAGTGAAAACTAGTAGGAGGAATGCGCTGGCAAGTTTCAGGTAAAAAAGAGTAATTTTAGTTTTATAAATACATTAAATAAAATAAATGTTTTAATAAAAGCAATTATATAGCATTTTAATTTTCCTATCCATATTCCTGAATCCTCACTTCAAAATATAAATTTGACAAAATGTGTAAATGGGATGTGGCCCGTGTGAATCTTGCTTGTTGTACCAAATGGCTCGTGTTTTAATTTAGTTTGACACCCCTGCAATAGAACATGAGAGGTTGAGGAATTTAATAGCTAATAGAACATAGAGTAAGGAGTCACAGTGATGCAGTGATTACATGACACGGCTACTAATGGGGAGGTCAGCAGTTCAAACCCACCAGCTACTCCATGGGAGGAAGATGTGGTAGTCGGCTTCTGGAACGATTTCCGGACATATTGTGAAAACCGTTATATATATATATATATATATATAAACAAAATACAGTGCTGTTTAAAAAAAGATTCTTAGTAATATTTTCTAGACATGATATTCTGGCATCTCCAAATCAACTATTGTCCACAGAGGTGTTTTCTTTGGGTCCCACGTTAGTCTTAAAAAATTATGCAATATATAAAATTTACTCACAGTTTATTACTGTCCCTCCCTATTATTTTATATATCGTCCACTTCCCACAAATGCAATGCTCCTGTGTCCTGTGTTTGATTCCTATAATATGTACATTTTGGGACTGCTTGCTCATATCTTATTTAGTAATAACAGACACATACAATTAATTTCAACTGCCCTTGTAAAGGTTCCAAGATCACTTTTCTTGGGTCTGTGTCATCAGCTGTTTCCACAAAATATCTGTAGAACATGTTAATGCAGTGATATGCATATGACGAGATATATTTCCCACAATTTTATCCTCCATCCAAAGGTTCATTTCCTTTTGTAACATGCCATATCAATTTATGTAACTTGTGATTCATGTACAATCTATCCTAGAGAGTTGAGGTTGTAGGAAATGCATAAATAAATAACAAATATGCAGGTAAATAGCAAATACATGTATTCACACTCAAAGTTAAAGTCCCTGAAACCACCGGTCCCAGGGCTGTTCGCTCAGGTCCTTAGGCATAGGGACGCGCTAGGAACAGGGTTGTAATTTTCCCAGAAGAAGGCCGCCAAACGGACTCCTAGTGGGTTTAAATCACTGGCCTTTTTGTTTAGCCACCAAGCATGTAACCACTGTACCACACGGAAGTATAATCAAGCAGTGCTCGAGAGGGAAGGGTTTGGCCTGTAATTAATTTGATTTAATTTCATAGCGAATCATTTGATAAGCGATATCTGTTCTACAACATAATGAGCTATGAAACATGCTGGCACAAAATAGATCTTTGGTCAGTGTCTTTTGGATTGTGCTCCACACTCTGTTGACATGACAGTGGAGGTAGGGGGAAAATCCTCATTTTTATTTTCTTGAAGAACTAAAAGATTTCAAAGGAGAATGTAGTCTGGGCATCTAGGAAGCGTGTTGACACATGAGTACTATAGTTTGGGGTCTATTTGTTTTTGTGTTTACTTTTCTTGTCACGTAGGTGAAGGTCACAAAGCAGGTGGTCAGTCTCACAGTTCTTTTGAGTCTGCTCCCTTCCGAGCTGCAGTAAGGAGTACACATTCAGTGTACAAAGCCCTGTAGGTTTTACAATTGCCTTTCCTTTTCTACTTTTACAATTCTCACCGCATTCTAGAGAGGAGCATGTTTTCTTGATAAGAAAATATTAATACAATCCTAGATTGATAAATTAATGACATCTACCATGTTGATGTGGGACTGGCTGGCACTCGGTCTTCTTGGGTAAATCTCTTGTGATTTCCGAGGGCTCTTTCTGCCCTATCTGTATTGCCCAGCCCCCACCCGGTGCTGCTTCTATGGACTGACAAGTGCTCCATGCTTTCACCCCAATACTCGAGGGACCCAGGGCTGAAGGAAGCCCTCAGAGCCCAGCTGTTCCATCAAGGAGCCTTGAAGAACACTGGCCGGGGAGAAGGGTGGAGCATGAGCCAGCTGTGGCCTCTTGTGGCTTCAGATGTGTGTTTGTTTGTTCACAGTGTCACCATTTCCTGAGTGCCCTACATGGGCTCGTGAGAAAATGAACAACAAGTGGGAAACTAGCAAACATTTCATTCACGGTACAGACCTTTGGTCGGAGGTAAAATGGAATTGCAGCCAAAATCAGTGATCTTTACCACCATCCGGCTGTCCACCACACAGTTAGTGGACTTCAGGCGGCCGTGGACTTCTGTCTTACTGGAGTGCAGATACGACATCCCCTGGAAGTTTTCAGATAACAGAAACACAAAGAGATGAGAAAAGGTTCAGCAGTTTGGTTCTTTGAAAGAAATAATGGATGTTTGGGAAACATTTCCACATATAGAGTCATCCTGTAAGATTTATAATGTGGTCCCATGATTTTATTTTTCAAATATTTGAATTAGCATTGCATTGAGTTTTAAACTCTATTTCAGTGGCATGACCAGGAGGCGAGTGTCTAAAGATTCTGCTTAAATATAAGCAAAAAGGCTGACCCTACTTTTTCATAGCTGAGAAGCAATAGTCACCACCCCAAAAAGTCTGTGCCAAAGGATCGAGAGGACAGATTTTTAAAAATGTTTCTACTCTCCACTTAAAAAACCTTGGGCGTCATGATGAAGCCTGAGCCCACCCGTCGGGGCTGCAGGAGAAAGACCTATGCTCGGTGTCTGTGAGCACGCCAGCCTGCAAAGCCCTCTGGGGCAGTTCTCTGCTGTGACCCGGGGTCACTCTGAGTAGGACATCCACACACATACCAAACTCACTCTTACTGGGTCTCTGGCATTGGGCTTGTCTGGGATCTGCTGTTACCTCGGTTTAAAAATGGGAATTTCCGAAGGCAAGGGGTGGCCTACCTTCTTTCTTACAACCAAATCGGTTCCATTTTTTTCAAACCACTTTATTAGGACATAATCCAGACAACATACAATTCAGTAGTTCGGTTATGTCAAGAAGTATTGTACAATTACTGCCACAATCAGAATTAAAACACATTGTTCCTTCTTGTACTCCTTGTTATTAGTTCCCCAAGTCTCCTAACCTTCCTTGCTGTACTCCCCAAGGACCCAAAATCTTATTACTGTCTGTATGGAGTTACCCATCCTGGAGTTCATATACCAAAAAACACAGAAAAATATCTAACAGAGAGTCAAGAAGGCTACCAACAAAAATCTGTTCCATTCTTATGAGGGTTTCTTTTTAACTTAATAACACAAAACCTTTAATACGTGTGCTAGGGAGCAAACTAAGAGGGAAAGAGAGGCAGAAATGCATCCTGGGACTTCCTAGGCTGGAATCTTCAGAAGAACCCAGCACCAGGTTTTTTCACTCAGTGCAGCTGGTGGGTGCAAACCATTAAGTTTACAATTTGCAACTGAGAGCACTTAACCACTGAACCACCAAGGCTCTTTAGCTTTGACCCATTCCCAGAAAGTCAATTCTGATTTATAGCAACTGGAGGGCCAGCTCCGCCAGGAGAGACACGGCATCCCCTAACTAACGCACAGTAATATGGTGGATAGCACTGGAGACACAGTGCAGGATTTGTGCCCAGTCTGGCCTCTTGCCCACCACCCCCACCACCACCACACACACACACACACCAGGGCAAAACAGGAAGGGAGCACAACAGAACAGGGAAGGGAGCAAAGTGACAAAGTCCCCAAGGAATCCAGAAAAGAGACTTCAGACTTGGGGGCAGGGCTTGGCATCTCATCAGACTTGATCAGAAAATATACATAAATAAGGGTCAGTAGACCAACCTGGAACGATTCCCCCTCCCCCCCATGTCTGTCTGTGTAATATAGTCAGGATAAACAATCCCAAGGAGACAACAATGGGACCAAAGACTGCAGGAGGTGGGGGGTCACAGAAGAGGGGGATGGGGGGAAAGGAAGCGGGGAGTCAACAAACCCAGGGACAAGGGAACAACAAGTGATCCAAAGTGATGCTGAGGAGGATATAGAATGCCCTGTGGGCTTTGATCAAGGGCGATGTAGCTGAGAGGAATTACTGAGAGCTGAATGAAGGTCAAACACGAGAGAGGAAGAGGAGGAAAGTAAAAGGAAACAGAGGAGAGAACCAGGAGGCAAAAAACATTTATAGAGGTATAAATATAGGCACACACACATGAAAACATATGTATCATGATAGGGATAAGGTCTATGTACATATTTTGTGCAGATGTTAAGTATTAAAGTAGCACATGGATATTGGGCCTCTACTCAAGTCCTCCCTCAATGCAAGAACACCTTGTGTCAACAACCTGGCATTCTGTAATGCTCACCCTCCTGACAAGATTGCTGAAGACAAAATGGGTGCACAGAAAATGTGGTGAAGAAAGCTGATGGTGCCCAGCTATCAAAAGATATAGCATCTGGACTCCCAAAGGCCCAAAGATAAACAAGCAGTCATCTAGCAGGGAAGCAACAGCCTGTGTGATCACAAGGCATCCACAGGATCAGGCATCAGGTGACCCAAAAGAAACAATCAGATCGACACGAACGAGGGGGGCCAGCGTGTAAACCCAAACCCCATCTGTAGACAATTGGACACCCCCTCACAGTAGGGGCACAGTAGGAAGGGATGAGTCAGCCAGGATTCGTGTAGTACCGACTCCACCACGCTGGCCTGGCCTTGAAGGAATACAGGCAAGAAGCTTGCCCTGCCGGGACTGCTCCTCCAGAAGACTAGAGGTTTTTTCATTCTTTTTCCTTCATGATCTCTTCGTCTTCAGGAGTCAGGTTGGCTCCCTTCTTCCAGCCCAAGGGCAGTGCATAGTGGGACCCGTACCACGGGCAGTATGGTGTGCTGTCAATGAGCAAGATGCAATCCTTCACTGGGTCTTGGTCCAGACCGCTCCCTCTTGGATGTGTTGTAGACAACCACAATGCTTCTTGTGTTGCAGATCCAACACTCGGCCCTGTCCTTCTTGTTGCCTGCTCTCATGGGAACTGTGTGGATGCAGAAGGGACCAGGCTTAGTGTTGGTGTTAGGTTTCTGGCATGGTGTGCCTCGGTTCTTGCTTCTCAACACTGAAAGAATTCATGTGGTAGAAGCACTTTTCTAATCCAAGTAACTTTTCGCAGGGAAGGCAAGTGTCGGTAGTGCAGTCTCAGACAGTGCGCGCTCTCTCTGGAAAGCGTGCAAGGATGCCTGGCGGGAGCCGTGGGAGAGTTCATGACCAAAAATGACCACTTGAAGGGAGCACAAAAAACCACATGGAAAATGGCCATTCAGAGGAGTCCACAGAACCAAGAGGGCCTTAACCAAGATGCCTCACGCTGACCAGCAAGGGGGCACCCATTGTCAGGGGCTGGCTGGAAAGAGCTCTTTAAAGGGGGTTTTGAAAGAGGAACCCTTTCTTTGGGCTGCTGTGCCTCCCTTGGGGGGGGGCGGGCGGGGGGAGCAGAGGTGTCATAGCTGAAAAGCTGAAGTCCTATTGCCCTGACCGAGGGCAGTACCACACAAAATCAAATAAAGCACTGTCAGGTCTCCACCACCACCATGGCTAGCTGCAGATCAGATCAGACTATTGTAGCGTTTTTACTGGTTCATTTTTGCAAGTAGATATCCCGGCCTTTCTTCCGAGTCTGGAAGCTCAGCTAAAGTCTGGTTAGCATCTCAGTAACATGCGAGCCTCCCCAGACATGGGAGGTGACTGTACTGGCCAGGAATCAAAGCCAGGCCTCCTGCAAGAATTCCACCACTCAACTACCATGGCCTTTTCAAACGGATTCTGATCGTCTGGGTTTCCAGTGATTTAAGACTGGATCACATGCTCAGGATGGATTTTTCTTTATTCTTGAATGTGGTCTTGGTTATTGGTGTTCACTACTCTTTCGATAGCATATATGAAGATATGCATCTCCAATTTTCCCAGTGCCTCTTGCCAGTTCATTGTTTGTCTTTCATATTTTCTCTTAATAAGTTGAGCATTCAGTGGTGTCTTCCTAAGAAGATGTTATATAATTTTGATGCCTAGCCCATCTATAAGAAGCAATACCCCAATTATGGAGTAGAAAAAATATGATAATAAAAACTTTAAGGGCCAAAATTTATTATTTTATATAATCTTAGATTATAAAATAATTCTATAAATATTATATCATAAAATAATCGTATGTTATTTTACAGAGTCATATAACTTATGACACATTTTATATAATGCACTGTTTGATGTAATCCTCACAACAGCCCTATGATATAGGTACTATTATCATTTTATAGAGGAAGACATAAATGTACCAAAAGGTTGACTAACTCACTGAAGATGCTTTCCTTTATTTAATTTTCATAATGTTTGTGTGTGTGTCTGTTAGTAGGTCTCTTACCTTAGCGATGTCGTACAAAACAGATATCTTGAATTCCCAATCCATGAATGTACCATCGGGGTAGGAAATTGTGTCATTTAAAACTTCCTGAATAGGAGAGGGTTGGGGGGAAGAGATAAAGATCAAATTTTAAAGGGGAATACTCTAAAGGTAATATTATTAACTGAATAATCATCTTCTAATCATGAGCCCTTGGAATCGGGAATAAACTGGAACTGGGTTTCCTGCCCACGTACTTTGCTCTGCTAGTAAGAACCACTAAGTGGCGCAATCATCTGGAAACAACAGGAGGTACTACAGTGCTGGCTCCCCATTCTGGCCTCATATAGATACAAAGAATGAATAACATTTGTCTGAAGGATGTGCTGGTGAGCCTGACTAACACCTGTATCAGGTATTCTGTCTCATGAAAATCAGACTAGCATTATTAAACCGAAAATTGCCCTCAGGAAACTCATTCGGCTTAGGTTTTTCCTTATATTATCAATAGCATCCATTCATTTAATTGTCCTTACAACATAATTATTATAGTAGTCCTTTTTCACTATCCAACGTATCCTAAAACATTATATGGCCACCCTACTCAAAGTTATCTGAAAGGCTGAAAACTATTTGCATTCACCCAAAGAGTCATTCAAGGAAAAAGTGCAAACACTCCAAGACTCTTGGAAGCGATGAGCCCAGATTTCTTTCTGCTTCTGCTGTTTTCATTTCGATCCTGTTTCTGCTTGACACCTGGTTTTGCTCATGAACTAGAAATGGCCTGATACTCCCAGTTTGATACTCTTGCTCCCCAAGAGCTTGATGCAGATCTGTTTTACTTCCCCTTTCTGCTTTGGGCAACCTGAATACCCAATTTCTTTGGAAAGCTCCTACCTGCCCTCAGTTCCTCACAGAGGAGAGAGGATTTAGTAGCAAGAGGAGGGCTTATAAGCAAGCCTTCTAATGCAGGCTGAGTGCCATCATAATGACCACCCCTTCTCTTGCAATGCAAAAGCAAGTTGGGGCCAGGAAAACAAAACTGATTTGATGCTCATCACTCACTTTTTAAATTGTTCTCCCTCATTCTCCCAAATCAAAATATGTTCATTTTCACCTTGATCATGAATTTAGATACAATAGGACTGATTGATAAAATCTGGTTGGTCAAGTTTGAAAAGCACCAACTTTTCTAGATAATTGTGTGATAGTATTTCACCAAGAGTCTGCTGGGTGTTTCTTTTCATGCACCAGTTAGGAAATTGGAAATGACCATGGCTGCTTACCCGGAGGGATCCTCTCTCACAGTATTCGATCACCCCAAAGATCGTAGCCTCAAGCTTCACTGTGCCGTAGAACTTGGTCAGGTTGTAATAGTCAATCTGAAGCAACTGAAATAATATGAACTTGTTTTATTTATAAAACAAATCAGCCAGAAAGCGATACCAGAGTGAAAATTAATATGTCCACAAAACGACTCTTGACTCTTTAGGATGATGCATTACTCTTTATCAGTTGAAATGCCAGTATTATTGCTTAGTACACCTTGCATTAAATCTTATTTGGCAAGCTCTCTTTTGTCTACAGGGAATCTTGAATACAGACGTTTGACTACTCTCAAGTATTAATGGGGCCTTTTCTAAGGTCATAGAAGAAGATCTCCAAAGTGTCTTGCCAAACATCAATCTCATTCCTTGGTAGAATTTTCAAGAAAAACAAGAAGAGTCACTTACCTTTTTGTCTGAAGTCTTTCCGCCAGCCTCCCCACCAACGCCTGGCCCCACCGGGAACTTCAGAGCTTAGCACGAGTGGAGTGAAATGGTTTCTTATTTAAGAGCTTGGAATGGGGGAAACATACCTTATTCAGCTCTATCTTCTGCCTCTCATTGAAATTGCCATCGTTGTGCTTGAAGTCTTTTAGAATCACTCTCTGCAAAAAAAATCATTGAATTACGGAGCTGCTGCAGCATAAGGCTGGGAGAAAGATGTGGCAATTCGCTCCTGGAAAAAGTATAGCCTTAGAAACCCTGTGGGACTTCTACTTTGTCCAACACAATCAACTTGATAGCTGCAGGTGGGTTTGGGGTGCTTGCTTATTGTAACATAAGCACTTCATAGGTATTCATAGGTAGTCCCCGACTGCCATGAGGTTCCATGCCTACAGGTCCATCATGTTACTTCTGAGGTAAGTAGAAGGCCTCGTGCCAAATTAACAAGCGATGCTTCTCCTGGTAGGGAACTGAGTAAATTACACTGCATAGAGTCATTGACTCAGCCACTCATCCTGGCAGTGGGCTTTGTTTCCGGTTGTCTAGGCCTGTTCTGTGAGGAAGCGGGTATCGGTGTTATGACGTAATGCCAGGGTGGGCTGTGGAATGTGCTGAGCACTGCCTCGCCATCTCTCCACTGGGACCCCGACACCAACACCAAGGTCACTGGATATCAGACCATACTCGGCACGATGACAATGTTTTGTACAACCAACAAATTGCAAAACTGAACATTATGAGTGAACACTTGAGAATGGTAGTGCCGCAAATGACCTGCTGCAACATGATTTGGTGTCCATATTTCCAATCATAAGAGGTGTGGACAAAAAAGGATGGTCAAAAGTGCAGTTTGTCATCATTTACATATGTTAGAAGTTGGGGACTACCTGGACATGTACTATAATCAATATTTTATTGATCCTTATATCCCTGGCTTCCACTGTCTGGGCTATGATTGGCTCAGGTTTGAGTGTTTCTTCAAGAATGACTAAATCAAAAGGAATGGGGACTGCAGGAAGAGAAATGCAAAACTTCTCTAGGAGCATTGTCATTTCCCACAACCATGAGCCAACTTAAAATCCCACTGTTGTCCAGAGTGCACGGAACCCTTTTCCTATTTCATTTTCTTCCAACACTCTACGCTTCTCCCCCCATTCTATTTATCCTTCAGTTTCCTTGGGCTTGTGAGTTTTACAACATTTGCAGCACAGCCGGTGCTCCTGAGAATGGTGGCAAGGACAAGAACCCTGGGAAACATGAGCAGGAGGACCAGAATACAGGCCCGATCGAAAGCTTGAGAATCAAGGAAGACGATAATCACCTTTTTGTCGTATTTACACTGTCGAAGTCTCTGGATTGTATCTCGTCTCTTGTCCTCCTCAATCTGGATCAAAACAGACCAATTAGTTCCATATCTTGTTCCTGCTATTGCCAGTGAAAGACTGAGAGCCTCCGCCCAGTGGACTGTTTGCTCTGTTGCATGCTGGGCTCTCAGAACAAATTCTTAGAATCAACATGTGTTTTCCTCTCCATCTCTATATTCATATCCCAACAATATTTTCTTCCTGGTTGGCTACCACTCCTGTTGTGGGGTTGGGAGGACCATGAGGATGCATCTCTCCTTTAACTGGCTGTTTTCTTTGCTCCCTTTGCCCCGGCCCTCTTTCTATTGGGAACCACAGCTTATAGCTCCACAGAGATGCTTTAAGGGGAGCTTGTTGTGCATTGGAGTTGTACAGGGCAGAGTTTGGAATTTGATTGCAAACTCATACCTAAAGATCCAAATTGTATCTTCAAATGAGTAGCCATATAATGAAGTGACACTAGGTCCTCACAGAAACACACCAGCCTGTGTGATCCAAGGATTGTAAATAATAAAACCCACGATGAGAGGAGACAATTGTATTAGAGCTTAAAATCTGAGCACCTGGTTTCTAGAAGGCTATGGATGACAGTTCAAACCCCAAATCAACGTGCAGAGTCCCCCTGTACTTCAAGCCCCCATTGGATTCCCTCTAAACATCCAGCATGGGTGTGGAGAGTCCTGCAGACAGACCGTGTGCATTGCAAAGGGCAATACCTCCACACACCCAAGCAGTCAAAGGAGGGGAATCTCCCTTGGGGGGTAACTTGGTTGTGCCCTTGATAGAAATAACTGTGTGGGGGTGGGCAGGGGCTGATAGTCACGAGCCATGCCCTAACCACTGGGGGAGGCCCTGTCATCATCTTGTAGGCTCCTTTGTCTACCACAACATCCATATGCCAATCAGAGCCTTGTTCCTGCTCCAGTCGTTCCACCTGTAACTGCAATGTATTGATCTGATGCATGATGCCCATCAGGCATCTGTGAGTTTTCTTTCTTTCTTTCTTTCTTTCTTTGTGTGTGACAGTTTTCCTTGACCCCCTGTGGCCTTTTTAGAGTTCTGCATATCAGCAAACCCTTGGGCACCATTATGACATCATGCTAATGGTTTCCCTCATTTAACTAATATGTCCCTGCTTTTGTGTTGTCCTTGTCCTGATTAAGACTTTACTAAATGCCCTTTAAAAAATGACATCCACAGAGCAGCATTTGCCCAGGGGTAAAGTTCCAAAGGCAGGAAGAGCTCGCAAAGAAGGACACATGGAAATGGTAAACACAGGGAGACACAGATGCAGTCGGGGTCACAGTGTCACAAGCTATGTGTAAACTGTTGAATGGAAAGCCAATTTTCACCCAAATCACAATGTGGAAAGCTTTTCAATCGACAAACACAATTTTAAAGTACACCTTGAAGGGATCATGCTGAAAGAACTGGGGCGTGTGGGTGAGTGGCTGTGATTCTGGGCAGTCAGATTCAGTGCGTCGTTTCTCTTGCTCTTCAGAAGTTCGTGGCAGGGTTACACTGCTTTTAATGGGCTAACAAACACACGGTGTGGAAAAGTGGGGTTATACAAAGCATCCAAGCAGCATCCCAAGTAAAGAAACTCAGCCAGGTGTCTAAGGGAAGCAGTCCCATCAGCCCTAGGTGATGGCTACCATGCAGTGCCCGGATCTTTGATTTGTCACATGAAGCTGTCATCTGGAATTTTAACATGAAGCTGTCATCTGGAATTTTATACACTATTTCACGAACTATCATGGGAATGGATTTTAAAATGTGAAACACATGCACACACAGACATCTGCAGACTAGATATGGCTTGTGGCCTGTCAGTTAATGACTTCTTGTCTAAAGGCAGAGAGAAGGTTCTGGATGATTGCACCTTTCCCTTTGATTCTAATAAAAACCTGGGATGCATTATTGTCTTTGCGGATTCTTACCTCAAGTCTATTTTGAAATTTAAATGAAATAAATGGTATCAAGTTCAAGCATGGTGCTTGACACCATGCATATTAATAGTGTCAGTTACCTTCCCTTCTTCCTCCTCTCACTGTATAAATAGAGCACAGAGATTAAATGGCATTAAATGACAGGGAGCAAGTGGCAGAATAGGTTGTAGCCCAGCTGATACCGAAGTGCTCACTGGATTCATGGGGTGACATCCAGCGGGATGCTGAGAATTAGGAGCTAGCTAAGACATGGATTCTGAAACAAACTCTCTCTGCTTGGTCCATTTCCTGCTCCCACGACATTGTCCAATGCCTGGCATGTTGTGCTAGCCCCAGCATTCTTCAACAGGGATGGTCAGCCTTACCTTCAGACTAACATGATTGGTCTCATTGGTCTCCAGAGGCATGATCTTTTCAGGAGGAATGTGGGACCATTTTTTCTGGCGAAGTTCGTGGTCTTTTTTGTACTTCCTGTGAAGGAAATAGAATGTTTCAATAGGCTTTTATTAGCATTTATGCCATCAGCTTCGGAACAACGAGAAAATGGAGAGCCCTTATGATCCTGAGGAGCTGTGTGGCGAGGGAGGCTAGCCCAGTTGTGTAGCCCCTGACTGTGCAAGCAGCTGAGCCCTGGCCTTAGGGACCTGCCGGGATTGCTGGATGCAATCCTTTAGATCCCTTTCCTTCACGGCACTGAAACCATCCTTTACTGACCTAAAGGACATGATGGATACCATGGAAAAGGTATGAAGCAAAAAAAAAAAAAACCACAGGAGAGAACAAACATTGGTAACTTTGAGAGGCAAAACTGTTAACTTTAAACTACCAGAGATGTCCCAAAAATTTTTAATAAGCCCATTTCTTTTATGCATTTTTGCCTTTCGAAAATATATAGGCAAAGAGGTAAAAAGGATACAAAGAAAATTTAACACCATGTATCTCAACATATGAAATCTTAAATTTTCAAAATCCCTTTCTTCAGGAACCGCCAATAGAGCAGAATTCTTTGGCCGTAGGGCTACCTACTTTCAAGGTTATAGCCACTGCTCACAAACTGCTCTCAGAGGGACGGCACCAATTCCACCCCCAGCCATGACAATCCCTGTTTCCTTTATTCTTGGCAGCATTTGCCATTAAGCTGTTTGGTTTTTTGGTTCTTGGTATCGATGCAAAAAAGCTGTTTGACTGTGCCTTTAATTTGCATTGTTCTGATTAGCAGAGAGACCGAGCATCTTTTCAAATGTTTTCCACCTCTTTTAGTGCGTGTCTAAAGTTGCCTATGCATCATTTTGCTCACTTTTATTATGCTTTTGTCCTTGCCATATTGATTTACGCGAGCTCCTTATACATTCCGCAAAACAAATCCTTTGTCCCTCCTCTGTCATAAATAACTTCGTCTACTTGATGGTTGGTTTTGACATTGTCGTATACAAGGTTTTGTTTATATATATACACCCCACCATGACTTTCTTTTACCTCAACTAAGGAATACTGAGATCTACACTGAAATCATATAGATATTATCCTTTACATTTTTCTAAGAGTTTTGAAATTTGATTTTCACATAGAGTTCTTTAATGAACTTGAAACTTCACATGGAATGAAATGTACTTTTCTGTCTGGTAGCAGTTAAGATTTTATTTAAATATTTTCCATAAGGGAAGTCTACCATCCTGACATCATTCCCAGTTGATTTCTAATGGCACCTCTATCATATTCAGCATTTTGATGCCTTCTTACCTCATTCCGGAATCTGTCTTCTCTTCCATTGATCTATTTGTTTATCCCTGAGTGTGTCTTTCCTGTCTGTCACTTGACAAACTTCTAAAAGCCACGTATGATGCCTTTCTTAATGTCTCCTAAGTGGAGGCGAGCCTTCTTTTCCTGCCTTCCATCTAAAGCTGAGTACACATCTATAAATATATAAGAAATAGGATAGTAAAGACCACTAACTATGATCCTGGTGTCATTGTGAGTTGGTAGCATTGTGGGATATGAATTGGTCTGCGAATGGCCAGGCCAGCAGTTTGAACCCACCAGCTGCTTCATGGCAGGAAAAAGATGAGGTTTTCTTCTCCAGTAAGGATGGATAGTCTTGGAAGCCCAAGGGGGCAGTTCTACTCTGTCGTCTAGGGGCACTCGGAGTTGGAACCAACTCGGTGTCAGGGAGATTGTGAGCCTACAACCTGGAAGCAACGGAAGTGACCAGCATGCCTTGAAGGATTCCGTGTTCTCACGTCTGGGCCACAGGAGGGTCTTGGGGCTCAGTGGACCTGCTATTTCTCTTGAGATCAGAGGTGCTATCGTTCATTGACCGTCTTTCTTGTATAATCTTGTAATGGAAAACTACAAGCATAGCACCATGCCTTCCCAATCTCCTTTGCAACAGCCAAGAGCTTGAAGGAAAACACCCTCGTTATGGGCCTTAGAGAATCCCGCATCTCCGTTGATGCTTGAGCGTAATGGAGCATACCGTTTTCTCCCCGGCCACTCTGTGTGATTCACCCGGTCTAAGCTGACACTCATTGGATTTGGTGTCTGCGGAACAGCAGCTACACTGGTTCTTGCTCTTGATAGGAAGTACTCTTCACAAGATTTGCTTTCTGCTCATCCTCAACTAACAGGTTGCCCCATCCTGTATATATGAACCAAAGTCAAATGCACTGCCATTGAGTCCATGCCAGCTCATGGGAGCCCTGGTGGCATCGGGGTTACTGATTGGACTGTGAACCCAAAAGTCAGCAGTTTGAAACCACTAGCCACTCTGCTGACTAAAGACAGGGCTTCCTACTCTCTTAAAAAGTCACGGTCTTGGAAACTCACAGGGGCAGTTCAACCCTGCCCTGTGGGGTCGCCCACTGTCTCTTATATTGCAGAGGAGCCCAGACTTGCAAGAGCTTGAAGGAAAACATCCATCATACTTCCTGAAGAAATCATAAGGGCAGTCCAAAGAGGGTGCTCCACCGAGCACGATGCTGTCTTGATTATTTAGGGGATGGACGTGGTCCCAATGATCCAATCGGGATTCAATGTTTTATGTGTTTAAGACACAGAGATTAGAATGCCATATGGTACTCATTCACTTACATATTTAACAAATGTTTCTGAGTATCCACTGTGATCCCACCACTGTGTTAGATACTTGTTATTCTAGGAGAATAAGCATGGAACTGATCATCTAGCAGCCTGAGTTCTAGTTCAGGTTCTACCCACTACTTAATCATGTTTTCTAGATTAGCCATTTTACTTCCCTGGATCTCAATTTTCTGATGCTAAAATAGGAAGTCTGAACCGTGTGTAATATAGTCGCTTCAGAATTTTCTATACTATAATCATAAAATGACAAAAAATGATTTTCATTTATGGCATGCCTCTTATGTGATATCCACTATCCCTATCCTATTTACATTTTCCACAACAACTCAGATGAGGAAAGTGGATCTAAATAACACGTTTAAGAGGTCAAATAACATGCTTAAGACAGCACAGCTGGTCCATCAGTGACATGCAGTTTCAGTTCAAGTGTCTCTGTCTCCAAAGTGTCCCACTCCGTAATGTGCTGCCCTTCATAGACAGTCTTTGCTACAGACTGCCTTCATCGTCTCAGCCCTGCTTAGAGACCTCTTTGTGAACGTTCGCTATCATCCAACAACATTGCTTCTCTTGGAAGGATGAGCGCGGGTAGGGCAGAAAGCGTGGTACCTCAGCACCAGGAGAGCAATGCCCAGGAGCACGATCACAGTGCCTGTGAGGGTGAAGACTGCAATCATCAGGATGTGAGGGCCTATGGACAAAAAGACAGTTACAGTGGATTAGGCATGACCAGTAAGAAGAGAATAAAAGCACTGCCAACGGTTCTAGCTGTTTCATGGAACCCCTGGGCCATGTGAATGGTTAACATATTCAGTTGCTAACCAAAAGGTAGGAAGTTCAAGTCCATCCAGAGGCACTGGTAGGTCTGGGGCTCTATTTCCCAAAGATGAGTCCCTGAAAACTTAGGAGCACAGTTCTACTCAGACGGGCAGGGACTTGCCTCAAGTCTGAGTATTTCTCACTCACTGCAGCTGGTCATCATTATCCATGGTGTAATATAATGTGCTGAAATAAGAAGAGAGAGTCTTCTTTTTTAAAAAATAAAAAGGAAAGCCTTTGTGGTAGTTACATACTCTGCTGTCAATTTGAGTCTTAAGAGCGAAGGGGTGAAATTTAGCCTGTCAATCAGGTCACAACTTGATGACTTCATTTGGAGCCGCTAAGCTCCAAATCAATAGCTCCTTGGAAGCAGGACACATACTCACTCCCTGCAAGACATTGCTGTTGACAAGCCACATGGAGAGAAGCTGATGGAGCCAGAGCCCTGGAGCTGGAGGAGCCATGTGGAGACCCCTGCCAGCACTGAGATGCTCTCACTGCCACTGGACCCACAAGACTTTCCACCCACTGGCCTATGATCTTCCTGCAGTCGGCATCATTGCATGTGTTTTGTGAGTCTGAAGAGGAATTTATAGATTGCTATTGGACATACAGGCTAATATCAGACTTATGAACTTGATCTGGACTGGGCTGCCATGTTTTCTCAATATTCAAATTATCTTGTATATAAAGCTTTTTCTTATACACGAGTGTTTATGGATTTGTTTCTCTAGTCTACCCAGACTAACACAGCCTTTAAAATGTTTTGTTTCCATTGGTAATATAGGTCACTACTACCTCATTGGTAACAGGTCCTCACACTGAAGACAACTGCTTAACGTGTGCCTATAGAGTGTGGGTTAATTTCAGCTACCCTTGTGGTTCATACATATTTCTCCTTTATAGGAATCACCAAACTTTCCAAGATAATAAAATATGTCCATTGCATTGAATAATTTTGGTGACTGACACCAACTTAGTATCCTCAAAACCAATGCACTTTCTAGGGAGGAACCATAGAAAAAGAAATAATAACTTTTAAAATACAGATCACAAGTAAAAGAAAGCTAAGGCAATTTAGAGTATTCCATAATAGTGGTTCTTCCCAAGCTCTACTAGGCCACAAAGGCGCCATGGAGAATATAGGGGGTGTTACTGATTGGAACCCTAGTATGTGAGTGGAGCTCTGTGGGCGGATGATCCGAGAGGTCTCCAGAAGAGTAAGTGGAATCTAGGGAAAAGTGAATACAACATCAGGAAGCACTGAACTGTCTGAGTATGATTCTGGGTAGCAGTCTGGAGAGGAGCAAGGCTAGACTGAGAAAGACAACAGCAAGGCTGAAAGTTATGAAAGTAATGGATGATGACACAAATGGTCTCTATCAGAACAGGAAGTTAAGAGCTCAAAGTAGAATGGACTCCAAAAAAGTTTGGAGAACAATAGAAATATGGTGAGATGTTGTCAACTAATATAGTCCTTATGCCTTAATTCCTTATGGGATTTATTATCATTCTGGACTCTATGCTTGTGGCTAGTCCTATTTTGAGCAAGTTCTCTGCTATACTAATAAACTGGAAGAAGATGGGATTAAGGCTACACTTTGTTCTGTTCACACAATTGCTCCTTGATTCGTGTACAAGTTCCACATGAACATAACGAAGTGCTCTGACATTCCCATTCTTCTCAAGGCTATCCATAGCTTGTTATGATGCACACAGTTGAATGCCTTTGCATAGTCAATAAAACACAAGCTAACAGCTTGGTGGTATTCTCTGCTCTCAGTCAAGACCATCTGACATCAGCAATTCTGTCCCTTATTCCATGTTCTTTTCTGAATCCGGCCTAAGCTTCTGGTAGCTCCATGTCAATGTACTGTTGCAACTTTTGTTGGATGATCTTCAGCAAAATTTTACTTGCATGCGATGTCAATGATATTTTTCTATAACTTGAGCATTCTATTTTGTCATCTTTCTTTGGAATGTGTACAAATATGGATCTCTTCCAGTGAGTTGGTCATGTAGCTGGAAAGGTATGCATCGAGGCTGTATCCTTTCACCATATATATTCAATTCACATGTTGAGCAAATAATCAGAGATTGGCCTAAACAAAGAAGCTTGTGGCCTCAGGATTTCAGGAAGGCCTGAAATATTCTGATGACACAACCTTACTGGCCAAAAGTGAGGAGGACATGAAGCACTTACTGATAAAGACCAAGGATTGCAACTTTCAGGATGGATTACCATCCTGAACTGGCCCGTTAGATAGCATCATGACAAATGGAGAAAAGATTGAAGTTGTAAAGGATGTCGTCTTGCTTGCATCCATAATCAATGCTCATGGGAACTGTTGTCAAGGGGTCAGATGATGTATTGCACTGGCAAATGAACTGCACAAGTCCTCTTGAAAGTGTTGAAAAGCAAGAATATTACTTTGAGGACTAGGGTGCATCTGACCTAAGTCGTGGTATTTTCAATTGCCTCCTAGGCATGTGAATGTTGGATATTGAATAAGGAAGAATGAAGAAGAATTGATCCATTTGAATTATGATGTTGGTGAAGAATATTAAAAGTAATGTTAGGTAGCTAGATTTAGGCATGGGGGGTAGTCCCCGTCATGCCTGCAAAGGCCCCGATAGAGGAGGTTGGAAAGAAATCAGGCAGCCTTTGGACACTTATGGGATGACCCCAAACTGAGCATGCACACACTAGGACCCCTTAGCACAGGAGTGTCCTAGCCTCCACCTTAGGTACATCACACAGGTGGGCCTGAGCTCAGCCAATGAAGTCAACCAATACCTTCAGTCACACCTCCCCAGCTACAGGTATTAAAAACCGGCTCCAGGAAAGCCAATTTCTCTCTTTTGCTCTGGTCTTGTGGCAGGTCAGAGGGCAAGGGCACACATGCACTGCCCAGGCATGCCCCCTCAGGGGCCTCTCTGGGCCTGCTTAGGACCCACATGCACTTGGGCTCTTAGGATCTCTTGCCTTCTTGACCCCTTGCTCACTTGCTCTCTTGGCACCCCCTCTTGGCCATGCCCCTCAGGGGCATGATGTAAGGAGGGCCTCTAGGGTGCAGGGCACTCATGAGCCTTCGTGCCCTCTCAGGGCCTGCTCCAGGCCTACTAGGGGCCCACATGTGTTTGGCCTCTTGGACAACGGGGATTCCCCAGTTCCAGGTGTGTGGGTGTTTTTCCCCCACATGGTTGTTTGTGCACAGTTGGGAACCCCAGCGCAGCTACCGCATGGCTTGGCACGCTTTCCAGAAATAGTGTGTACCCTTTTGAGACTATAAAACTCAAAACTTTTCTGTTGCTTCATAACAACTCATTTGGATTACTACAAAACATGCTTCGGCATGAATTCTTTCAGCGTGCGAAGCAAAGAACTGAGGTACAGAGGGACAGCACAAAAGAAGAAAGCATGATGGATTAACACAGTGGTGGCATCAATGGGCTCATCATCAGAACAATCGTGAGGATGGCACAGGATCAGGCAGGGTTCCGTTCTGTTGTACATGCGGTTGCTATGAGTCAGCACCTACAACAAAAGCAAGTCTTGACCTGAGTAGAGGGTGCAAACCAAGTCACATATTTTATTTCCTTGGGAGCATGAGGAGCTAACAGCTGAAAACCACAAAGCCATTTCTCTGTGTATCAGAACTATCTCAGACACGTAGAAAATCCCTTGGACCATTTGAAGATGATGCTCAGAATCTCTGAAGTGGGAGGCTGAGATCGGAGGCATCAGAGCCTGTGGCATGGATACTCAGAGGAGCAGCACAGAGACTCGGGGGCACCCTCTCTGGCTGGAGACTATGGAGCTGTGAGACAAAGTGACAGTCAGGCTTCCTGGTTCATGGAGATAGAGGCCAATGAACCACTTGCCGTAGAGCTGTGGTTCTCCACCCTCCTGATGCTGCGACCATTTAATACAGTTCCTCATGGTGTGGTGACCCCCAACCATAAAATTATTTCCGTTGCTACTTCATCACTGTAATTTTGCTACTGTTATGAATAGGGCGGCCCCTGTGAGATTGAGAACCACTATCTTACAGGGTGAGATAGAAGTGTTATTGTCAATCAATGATCCTAACTTGTGGGGAACTGTTATCTCCCATCATATGCTCCCTTAACCATGAGCATTGCCTGTCAGGTCCATGTGGCCATTGCAATGAATACTCAAACTCAATCCAGAAATAGTGCTGGGAAAGGAATGCTTGCTATTAGAACAAGGTAAAGCTGGATGGAGGGCGAAAGCATGGCTAACCCTTGTCTCATGGCAATAGGTGTGGGAAACTGAGCACCTGCAAGAAAGTATAAGCGACATTTGTGACCACAGGGCATGGCAGACCAGCACTAGTGACGAGGCACACCTCCATGGTCCTGAGACAATTGATAGTGTCCAAATACACAATCTCTAGGGAGAAAGATTTCTCTGCGAAGCCCCTCCATTAAAATGCTATATAAAGCTGCGTGCAGAAAGCCTTGTCTTCCTTCCAGGAGCTGCTGGTAGGTTTGAACTTTGGACCCTGTAGTTAGCAAAATAATGCTGACCTGACAGCACCCCCAGGGGTCCTTGGAGTAGTCCAATTAGGAGAAGGATATTTTCAGCATGTCTACCTACCATGCTAGGTTTGTCCACGTGTACAAAAATATAACTCTGACAAGAACACAAAATGAAACAGAAGAAAAAGCAACAGACTAATTGATGTTCATAGATTTTACTCTCCTTATCAGAAAACCAATTTCAGGGAAAGAAAATCCATTAAGAGTACCTTACCCAGATTTGGAACGTCGTTTGGGAGTTTATGGTCCTTCCAGATGAATGTCGGGCTGGCATCCACTGACTGCGTATTATTGGCAACATAGGTCAAAAGCACCTTGTACTGAGAGAGGGGATAAAAGGGGAGGGGGTAGGTAAAAAGAAAAAGAACAACTTCTAGTGAGAATGACCGTTCCACCCAATGACACTTGAATTTTCATTATTAACATTTCTCATTAAACAACCCGCCTGGGACTAGTTAGGATCTATCTCTTAGTTCACAGTATGAACATGGATTCAAGGTCCAAGGAGGACAGTATGTTTCTCTCTCTCTCTTAAATTGTGACTTACACTTCACTGGTCACAGATTTATGCCGCCAGGTACACTTCTATACCCCAACTGCCTTAGTGCAGTATCTCTCTTAAATTGTGACTTAGACTGGGGGGGGGGGTTGCATTTCATTTCAGATCATCATTGTTGCATTCAATAACTTGTCAAGCCTCCCAACCACCACCACCACCACCCTTTTTTTCCTTTTTTGCTCTTCTCCCTCTTGTAGAACATTCTCTCTCCTTCATCCAAGTTAACACCTGTCTACCCTCTACCCTATTGCTTCCCCTTTACTTCCCTTCCCTCCCACCTCTGGTAGTGATCAAAGTCTGTTTCTTTTGGTATGAAACATTTGTCTTGTTTTTCCCCCTTTTCACAGTGATCTCTGTTTCTTTATGATCATGGTCTTTACCACTGATCCCGCCCGGCCTCACATAGATTCTCTTGCTCTTGGGAGAACGAGGTCAAGTTTTTAACTAGCACATGTTAAGACAGAGGCCAAGAGAAGTTAAATTATAGGCCGACAAGTGAAGGGGAAGTAGTTTCCATGTAACCGATACTGAAAATGATTTCTGGAGAAAAGTCATCACAAGTAAAGCCCTCTTTAACATGTTGTTACCTATCAAGTGGCCTGATAGAAATTCTCCGTTTCTTCGGTTATAGCAATTACATAATTTTCTGACCTCTTCCATCTTTTTTCTCTAACATGCTGTTCCGTTCAAAGCACTAATGAATCTCTCAGCCATTGGGTTAATTGTTCAACTAATTTCCCAAGTGAATATTAATATGTGATATTCAATATATCCTACACACACTGAATTGGCCCTGTAAGAGACATCTGAAAAATTTCACCATCATAAATTCACCATCATTCCTTCAAATGTGAAGGTAGTGTTATAGTAAAGTGAGGCAGGGACCACACACTGCTCTAAAGACAAAGAAACCTAAGGAATATGAAAAGGCCCAGGTGACCATTAAGCATACCCACTTCCACTCCTGAACCAGTCTGCCCACTTCTGCTTCTTGGAACGTGCTTGTGCTAGCCACTGGCTAGCCAGTGCCCAAGAGCCCATGTAACTGCTTGTTTCTACTTGTGTGTTCCTGCTTGCTGGCTCATCGACCTATCACAACCGCCGTGGAAACCCACCTCTCTTCCCTATAAAATGCTCCCTGTCGGGGAAGTAGGGGCTCAGTCTCTGGATAAGAACCCACTGAACCCTGTGTCCACACAATTAAGCTCTTCCTTTTGCTATAACCCGATTGGCATTAGGTAACTCCTTCAGAGCAACTTTGGTAACAAAAGTTTCAATATAAATAAACAGCAGTAGCAAAAATAAAACCCTCATAACAACCCCGTAGGGCAGTGTTCATGGTAGGTTCTGTGCAGTCTGTTCCAATTCAGTGACCCTGTGCACAGCAGAATGAAACACTGCCTGGCCCTGCACCAGCCTCACCAGTGTTCTTATGTTTGAGCCCATTGTTGCAGCCATTGTGTCAGTCATTTCCTAGAGGTCATCGGTTTGTGAAAACATTTCAGTTGGTATACTTCCTCATTTCAAGTGGCTACTACCTCAGAAGTGGACTGTCTAGTCCTTCTTCCTCATCTTTTCTTCTTTTGGCATATAGCTAATTTCATTTAAAATGCATACACATGCACACAAAACATAGCTACTAAAGGTCACACATATGTTAAACAAATGCTTCCCTTTAGGGCTTCAAAAAGTGTGCGGGAAAATTTCATTACCTTTTTCTTCTTCTAAAATAAGCTTTTTATTGTGAAAATGTAGATCCTGTAAAAGTTAGGAAAATATAGGCGATGGATGACAGTAATAGCCCATAATCCATTTGTAGAGTCCTCACATTGAATTCTTTCCAGTTGCTAACCAAGGATGTAAATAGCAATGCCCTCAGGCAGAGTGCCTGGCAAGTGTATTACCTCCACTCATCTCCAGCCAGCCTAGGGAGTGGCAGTTTCTCTTAGGGCCTGGTCTGAGTGTGTCCTTGATACAGGTCACTGAACTGAAGACAGTAAGGTGGACCACATAGTCATGAGTCATGCCCTATCAGTCTCTCCTTAGCTGCCTTGGTCAGGCAGCCCTGGACCAATCTTATAAGTTCTTCTATATAACAATGTACTTCTCCCAGTACTGGTCCCATTCCTGTTTCTATAGTCCCATTTGTAAATGGTATGCATTGATCTGCCACCAATCATGCTTTTGTGACAGTTTCCTTTGCCCTCCCATGCCCTTTATAAAGCTTTGTATCTCGACGGACAGTGGAGAAGTCGGCGAAGGGAGATGTCGGACAGTGTAAGATATGACAAAATAATAATAATAATTTATAAATTATCAAGGGTTCATAGGGGAGAGGGGTACGGTGAGAGGAGGGAAAAAATGAGGAGCTGATACCAAGGGCTCAAGTAGAAAGCAAATGTTTTGAAAATGAGGAGGGAAACAAATGTACAAAAGTGCTTGACAAATTGTATGAGCCCCAATAAGATGATTTAAAAAAATAATAATTTAGAGAATTTTTAAAAAAGTGCTTGACACAATGGATATATGCGTGGATTGTGATAAGAGTTGTACAAGCCCCCAATAAAATGATTTAATTATTAACAAATAAATAACCAAGGCTTTGTATCTCAACAAAGATCTGGACGCCATTTTAACCTCATGTTAGTGGCCTCCCTCATCCAGATGATAGGTCTGTGTCATTGTGTTAGCTTTACCTCTTTTAAGACTTAATAAATGTTCTCACCTTTTTAAAAGTTGGTAAACACAGTGCAGAGTTCTGTCATGCTAGCACTTTACTGTCATCCAGTTTTTCCTAATGCTAACGTTTTATAGACCTCTTTTACATTGATGAAAATCAACAAATTAACATTGGTACTATACAGTTAACTAAATATACACTCTATCAGATGCCACCCATTTTCTCAGGAATGTTCTTTTTAAAAAGGAAAAAATATATTGGCATATACTTCACATGCTGTGCAATTTAACGGTTCAATCATATTAAAATTTGTGCAATCAATAAAACATTCCATTTCAGAATATTTTCTCTTCATGCTCATTGTTCTGAGCTCCCGATTTCACCCCATCCTCTCTGTGCCAGATAAGAAACAAAGTGCTGGAGAGATGGAGAGGGAAGAGCAACTTTCTTTGTGCAAGCAATCCAATATTAATGGAAACAACATTATAGAGCTTTTTGTATGACCCAGAGGATTATATAGTTTATGATTTTTGTGGAAATTTTTCTGGAAAGACGAGGGATTATTTCACTGAAACATTTAGTTTTAGAAGTGAATAAGCAGTTCTTAGTAATGATTTGTCCTCCTCTCATTGGTATCCATCCCATTAATAATCTGGCTTTTGTATCAATTTATCATAAATCATCTTATATATCTTATAAATATCATATATAATATATACATATACATAAAGTAGATATTCTGAACAGGAAGTTCTATGAGTCAAAAATAGTTAAGAAAGACATCCCTAGGTGTGGCATCATTTTAAAGCTGAACTCAACATATAAACAGTTCCTAACCAGATCTCCTCCACTTCCATCACTATTGTCCCTATTTCAAGTTATCTCGCCTAACCCAGTCTTAATACAATCACATCTCCCCAAGTTTCCTGTAATGAGTCACATTTGGGGTCAGACATACTTTGTTGGTGTCCACAGAGGTGTACAGAAGCACCATGGGTTTGTCAATATCACCACAATCATCCAAAGTCACAGGACCCAGGGCTCCTAGAGCAAAATCAGAGAGAGTTAATGGCCATCGTTGGCTTCTTCCCTAAAGAGAATGGTTGAACACAGACAGGGGCTAATAAAACCAATTCAAAATGCTCTATGTTACTTAAGAAAGGTTAGCTTTTGCCATCTAGTTAGAGGCCACCTGAATTGGCTCTTGGCTTCAAGGTCTCTGAAGGACATTTTTATTGGCCATATTACTTTGTGGTAGTTATGTAATCTCAAGTCAACTTGAGGGTATTAAGAGTGAAAGGGTGGAGGTTAGCCTGTCAATCAGGTCACAGCTTGAGGACCTCATTTGGAGGCACAACCTAGATAAATGGCTCACTGGAGGCTGGACCCTCTCTGTCTCTGCTTCACCTTCCTGTTGACAAGACACATTGAGCCACCTGCACCAGCCCTGTGATGCTTCCATCACTATTGGATCCACAAGACTTTTCACCCACTGGCCTGTGATCTTCCTGCAATCTGCATCATTGCATGTGGCTGTGTGAGTTTGAACAGATATTTATGAACTAGTATCAGATTTATGAGCTAATATCACACTTATGGACTTGATCTGGACTGGGCTGGGAAGTTTTCTTACTATACAATTACTCTTTGATATAAAGCTCTTTCTTACACAAATATATGAATGCCTCTGGATTTATTTCACTGGTCAACCTGGACTAGCACATACTGATTTGGAAGGAAATATCTTTTCATTGTATTAAGGATGGCACCAAATGGAATCAGTCAATAAATTCCTCTTGGTGATTAGTAGCAAGTTTTTGCTAGGAATATGTGTGTGTGTGTGTGTGTGTGTGTGTGTGTGTGTGTGTACATACACTAGACTAATAACACAAATGTTTAGGTCCCTGCACGATCTAACTTAGATTATAAAATGGTCAAAATAATACTCTCTCACTTATTGGCTATACAACACTGAGAGAATTCTGTGAGTCTCAGCTTTCTCATCTATGAAAGAATGTTAATATAGAGTAAACCTATGAAATGGCTATATGGCTAAAAAAGGATAAAATATCTGCAATTTAATATTGTAGAACCTAAGGGCTAGCATTATGTTTATTATATGCCAACTCTGTAGTAAGCATTTTATATGCATTTTCTCCTATGATTTTTCCGAACTACAATGATATAGAAAATATCATCTCTATCTTATTGATTTAAAAAATGAGGTCAGAGATATTAACAATCTTACCCAGGGTTGTAAAGGGAATAAGTTCCTAAACTAGACAAATGTCTACTTTAAGAATAGACAAATGTCTCCTGGCTTCATGCCTATGTTAGTAGACACTTGGCCATGGGCACAGAAAATTAACTTAGAAAGTATATTAATGCCTGGCAGAACTTGGGGCAAGGACATGACCAATACATTCTACCTCCCTGCTTCTTCAAATGATCAGATGTCATCTTTTCCTATTATCCATCTGAAGCCAACCACTGGTGCAACTCCTCAGGCCTTCAGTTGCTGCAGAGCCAGAAGAAGAAGGCATACTCTTCAGTGGCTCTATTGGATTACGCTGTTTCACAGAGCAAGGTTTTAAGTATGTTAGAGAAGGCAACTCCACACACTAGAAAAGGACTCATGTTTCATAAAATGGAGAGTCAGCAAAAATGAGAAAAATCTTAATGAGACAAATTGATAATAATAGCTTCAAAAATAAACTCAAACATACGATCATGAAGATAGGACAGGACAAGATAACTTTTCATTCCGTTATATGACAGGGTACCCAAAACGCCCCGGAACTTTGTTTTCCAAAGCTATGTATTCAAAATTTTTACAACCTTCTCACCTTCAAAGTACTCTCCTTTACACTTAATACATTTGTCAAATCTGTGATTCCATTCTTGGAAACATTTTTCAAATTCATCTGCTTGGATGGCAGCACCTCCCTATGTCTTCAAATTGCTGTCTTTCTTTTTTTTTTTTAATTGCTGTCTTTCATATTCCTCTTCATTCGCAGAAACAAACAGAAGTCGCACAGAGCAAGGTCAGGTGAGTAAGGTGAATGGGGCATGCTGTTTTTGCCAAAAACTGGCTCATTGAGATGGCTATGTGAGCAGATGTATTGTTGTGGTGGCAAAACCAGTCCCCCGTCTACCACAAATCAGCCTTTTTTTTGGTCACACAGTTACGCAATCTTTTCAGAGTCTCTATATAGAAATCTTGATTAACAGCCTAACCTGGCAGAACATAATGAAATGCACTATAAGTCAACATTTTCATCCATTCAGGAAGTTGTCAGATGTCCAGAATGAGGTTTGACATTTCACCTTTTTGAAACGAGAAAACCACTCATCCACTTGGGTTTTTCCTATAGTGCTGTCCTTGTAAGTTCTGTTCAACATCACAACAGCTTCTATGGCATTTTTCCCAAGTGGGAAACAAAATTTCACAGCCACATACTGTTCTCTTAAATGGGCCATCACCAAAAAAACCCAAAAAACCCCCAACAACAAAAAAACAAAACAAACAAACAAACAAAAAAAGAGGTTTGAGCGAAACAGCTTTTATGAAAAAATTCACTGTGAGCACAGAGAACCTTCCTAGATGACACCACTGGGTGCACAAACTCAGGGTGAGCTGCTTGTTGCTTACCTAGTGGGAAAACTGCATACTATGAAAGCTGTACCCTGTGGAGTTTTTTCCGTTTGGGGGAGATACTGCATCATACATAAGGTTGAGCCAATTCAGTGGCAACTATCATTTATGTATACATATATTGTACAGGAAATTTAGGAGAAATTTCTTTCTATTATCTACATGAGATGTGAGAATGAAAGATGGTAGTTTTGAAAGCAGTTCATGATTTGTGAAGTTCAGTGGGGCATATGTTGAAGACTCCTCAATGGTGCTATGGCACTTCCGTAGCTAGAAGATACTACAGGGTTTCAGATGCCTGTAGGGTACAAAGAAATTTATGGAGGAAGCAAAATAGAAATTTCAACCATTTATTATCTTTCTGGCCTCATTCTAACACAGTGGGGATATCTCAATGTCTCATCAGATGAGATTGCAGGTTCAAGTCCACCTTCGAAGGGTTGGAGGTTCAAGTCCACCTTCTAAGGGTTGGAGGTTCAAGTCCACCTTCGAAGAACATCCTGGTGATCTAATTTCAAAACATCAACCACTGAAAACCCTTCAAAGCACAGATCTCTGAAACACATGGCGTTACCATGAGCCGGAATCTATCTTCTCAATGGCAGCCGTTCTGTGAGTTAATGCCTCATGATGAGGCTTGTTCATAAGGACAAGGCTTGAGATAGGTGTTTTATCTAAGCTATTTGTAGTTTCTTAAGGTTTACAGCATAAACTGGGATCCCATTATTAATAATAGCATGCCCAACGTTGATGCCAGGATGACTGTCTTTATGTTCAAAATTTTAAACTGTTGACCCATGTAATACCAAATCCCCTTCTCTGTTTTTCAGAATCCATTTCCAAAGTTCTGCTTTTCTTCAAGTTTCTCAGTTGTTGTATTAGGTGCCTTCGAGTCAGTTCCAGCGCAAAGTGGCCCTTTGGACAACAGAATGAGACACGGATCCTGAGCCATCCTCCTACTTGTTCTTATGTGTGAGCCCGTTTTGAAACTGCTGTGCCAGTCCATCTTGCCAAAGGTCTTCCTCTTTTTCCCTGACCCTCTGCTTCATTAAGAGTGATGTCCTTTTCCAGGGACAAGTTTCTCTAGAACAATTGTCTCAACCTGTGGGTCACAACCCCTTTGGGGGTCGAGCTACCAATTCATAAGAGTAGCAAAATATAGTTAGGAAGTAGCAACGAAAATAATTTTATAGTTGGGGGTCACCACAACATGAGGAATTGGAGGTTGAGAACCACTGCTCTAGAAAGAATTAATTTATTTATTCTTCTTATCATTTGTTTTTAGGTAAGATTACCTGGAAATGTGAGGTTCCTAAAAGCATGAGCAAATGAAGGGGTAGTCATGCTTTCTTCAGTTTCAAGAAATATTTTCAGCATGTGTCCAAAGAGCAAGACTCCATCCAAGTAGGCAAGAAGAAAGTCATTATTTGCCTGTTTGAGAAAGGGAAACATTTTTAAGGGGTTGTCCAAAATGGTTATGATCCTAAGCCTGGAGGAAGACATTTCTGGGCTCAGTGAGGTAACTGGAACAAATGAAATATTAAGTCAATTGTGTTAAAATAAACTCTTGTGGATTCTTTGGTGGACCAGGGCCTCTTTAGTATCCTCATGTCAAACCCCCCCAGTGGCACAGTGGTCATGAGTTGGGCTGTGATCCGAAAGATCAGCAGTTTGAAAACACCAGCTCCTCCTAGGGAGAAAGATGGGAATTTCTACTCCTGTAAACAGTTACAGTCTTGGAAACTCAAAGGGCCACTATGAGTGGGCATCAACCTCATGGTACTGAGTTTCAGTTTGGGGATTCAACAAACAGACCATTACCATTACAAGGAGCTAAAAGTAGTTGGCCTGCCTGCCTTTTCTGATAAAATGCAATTGCAATCAGAAAGACAACATGCAACACTGTCCTACTTTTTGTAATAAATTATTGAAATGTAGCTCACTTGCAGTCTAATGTTTTCATTAAAGAGTAAAAGGGGAATAAAATTTTTCAATAATCTGAGTAAGGTATGAAGGGTTGTGATTAGATTATACCACTGAACTTGGAATTGCCTTGAAAACAGTCCTAACTGGGTGTTCCTGCAGGTTCCAAATGTTGGTAGGGGAAAGATAAAAGAGGGCATCAAAAGCTGTTTGTCTCAGGGCAGTTGCATGGTGGTCTTCATAAAGCTGGATTAATGAACTTTGTGTTCCTACTCTCACCATCCCCTACACCCACAAAACAAGTGAATTTTGTCTGACCAGGGATTTTGCACTGTCCATCTATGAAGAATCACACTTTGGCCAGAGACTAGAAGCAGTGCAAGTTGTATTGGAATACTATATCTTGAATCGCATTTGCTAGAAAACCTTTTTCATTGGTTTTGATTTCTTTTTCTGAAATCATGATTTCATGGGGTAAAAAGAATCCAGTTAAGGTGAAAGACCCTCATTTGGGAAGGGTCCTAATACCAAAGCCTTAAAACCATTCAAACCAAAAATCAAACTCACTTCCATCAGAGTAGAACTGGTCCTGTGGTTTAAAACGCTATGAATCTTTATAGGAGCAGAAAGCCTCTTTCTCCTGCAGAGCCTAGGGTGGTTTAGAACTACTGAACTTGCAGTTTTCAGTCCAATATATAGTCCATTGTACCACCACTTGTCCAGAAAGCAACTCTCCTTATAGTTTTTGAGCCTTGCTCTTGGACTCTCATTTCAAAATTGTTCAGGATCCATAGGTCTTCTCCTTTATCACCCTCCCACCACAGCCCCCCCCCCCACTGTCAGTCTCTGCATTGCATATCTGAGAAACTTCATCATATTAGGAGTGCAGGGATGAAGAATTCGATGTCCTATCGGTGGCAGGGCCTTTGTGTGATAACATGTTGACTATGAATTATGTATAAAATGTGGTTCTTATTCTCGGTCAAATGCTAAACTAGATGGCATAAAGAGATGCCAGAAATAAACGAAGCCTCACTTGCACAAATTTGGAGAATGTTCAATCTAATCATAATTTTCACTAAAAATAGCATTGTGGTATCAAGGGCAGGAAAGTTACATTAGAAAGCAGAGGACTTCCCCATAACTCTCGATTTATTTTACATCATTTAATCTCTACTGCATCTAAATGCAAGGGAGTGTCAAAATCACTCTTACCAGTCCCAAAGATAGAAAGCTCAGGCCCCCATTTTCTGGGAATATGGCACCAAACTCCTCCAAAATGACATACAACTGTAACCTACCTCAACAACCTTGACAAGAAAACAAGAGAAACAAAACACAATGTCAGAAGAAGTCCTAAACCCAATGCAGCTTAGAGAAGAGGCAGATGTTGATCTGCCACACCACAAAAATAAATCATCAGAATGCTGCTTGCAGTCATACAGGATATGAAGGAAGCAATACAGAATAAGTATGCAACAATAGAGGACATGGAGTCCACAATAGAAGGGATGAAGTCCATGAACCAAAGGGAAATACAAGCATTAAGGGACAAGGTAACAGAAGCAAAAATCAAGATAGCAGACCTCACCAACATACTAGAAGAAGCAGAGAATTGTACCAGTGATCTCAAGGACAATCAGGCAGACTTCAACAAACAGGAAAGACAGTCAAAAAGAACAATATTTGAATAATTGGGATACCAGAATAAGACACAACAAAGAAGTCAACAGCTAAGGTAGCTAGGGAATTCCAGGAAGAAAACTTCCCCACCTTAATGAATGAGAATCAGACATTCATACCGGAAGCAGAGAAGACACCATTTAGACTAAACCCCAAGAAGAATCCACCAAGGCACATCATCATTAAATTATCCAACTTTGAGGAAAAGGAGAAAATCAAAAGAGCAGCTAGAGGAAAAAAAAAGGCAGTCACATACAATGGCATTCAGGTAAGGATATGCTCAGAGCTATCAGCAGATACCATGAAGAGGAGGAGAGGGTGGATGAACATTTTCCAAAAGTTGAAGGAGAACAATGCCAATCTAAGAATCCTCTATGCTGCCAAACTATAATGATAGACACACAGATAAGAGTCTTCTGGACAAGGAAAAATGCAAAGAATATGTCATATCACATCCAACCCTGCAAAAAATGCTTGCCAATTCACTGTGGTCAGAAGACCAACATTCACCAAGCACAACAAGGAGACCACCACTTATGCAACTCCACCCGGAAGTCAATACACCCAAAACAACCATCAAGATAACACTGTCTCTGGTGAAAAGAAGGAAAGAATGAAACCCCCTGAGTTAGTTAGTTTATTGTGCCAACCTGGCCGATTAACACATGTGGGGTTAATTGAAGGGCAGAGAGATAAATGGCTCGGTGACCCTCGCCTTTCAAGTTCTCCTGGTCTCTTGCTTTCTGATGATCACACCAGGGTCGCAGCTCCCTTAGCCAGTTCCCTGCTTCAGCACGGCAAGGCTCAATTCCTGTGAGACATCCCTGAGGAGAAGCCACATGGGCCTAACGCAATGCAGCCCTGGGTGCTGGAGTAGCCATGTGGAGATCCCTGCCAGCGCTCAGATGCTTACACATTCACAGATTCAGTGTTCCTCCTACAGTCGGCATCATAGTATGTGTTTTGTGAGATGGAGGAGGACTTTGTGGATTGGTGTTGGACATTTAGGTTAATGGGTTAATGTTGGACTTGCGGGCTTGGGCAGCACTGGGTTGGGATGTTTTCTTGATGTGCACTTACCCCAACCTTGTAAGCCATGCCTTAAGAGCAACATATCCAAATGAACCAGCAAACTAACATAGAGGTCTGTGGGAGTGGCCCCAATCTCAGCTATGTTGACCCCACTCCCCAGAAGATGGCACTACAGAGGACAGCATGGAAGATACAGCCCAGGGAGAATGACAGGTCTGCCCAGACCACATGGACGAAAACTAAGAGGGAAAGAGAGAGAGAGTGGACTGAATCTTGGCCCACCAAGCCCTGAGGATGACAGTTCTACTGGGAGCAGCCAAGGTACAAAGAGGACTGTAGGGCCGACCCCACCATGAGACACTACGTCCCCTCACTGACCCACAGCATAGCAGGGGACAGCACTGGAGACACAGTTTGGGAATTGTGCCTGGTCTGACCCATCCATGCTGGGGTGAAACACAAAGGTAGCAAAGCAACAAAGTCCCCGAGGAATCCCTAAAATAGACTTCAGACTCAGAGGGCAGGGCTTAACACTTCATCAGACTGGATTGGAAAACATACATAAGGGTCAACAGACAGACCTGGAACTATTTATAGGCCCTTCTTTTTTTTCATGTTGATCTATATAAGATAAGCAAGATAAATAATACTGAGGATTAAACAATGGGACCAATGGTTCAGTGGGGACAGAGAGGGGAAGGTGGGGGAAAGGAAGGAAGGAGCCAACAAACTCAGGGATAATAGAACAACAAGAGATCTAAAATTGATGGTGAATAGGGTATAGAATGCCTGGTGGGGTTTAATCAAGGGCAATGTAGCTGAGAGGAATTACTGAGAATTGAATGAAGGTTGAACATCATAGTGGAGTAGGAGGAAATTAAAAGGAAACAGAAGAGAGAGACAGGAGGCAAAAAACATTTATAGAAGTCTAAATATAGGCAGGCACACATGCAAACATATTTATATATAACTATCGGGATATAGGCCTATGTGCATATATTTATATGTTAAGTATTAAGGTAGAAGATGGACACTGGGCCTTTATTCAAGTACTTCCTAAATTCAAGAACAGTTTGTTCTAATAACCTGGCATTCTGTGACGCTCACCATCCCAACACAACGCCTGAAGAAAAAATGGGTGCATAAGCAAATATGGTGAAGAAAATTGATGGTGTCCGGATATTAAAAGATATAGCATCTAGGATCTTAAAGGCTTGAAGTTCAACCAGTAGCCATCTAGCAAATAAGCAACAAAGCCCACATCAGCATGTGTGATCACAAATTGTTGACAGGATCAGGTATCAGGCATCAGAAGACCCAAAACAATCATACTGATGCAAACGAGTGAGGTTGGATTGGAGACCCAAAGCCCATCTGCAGACAAATGGACACCCCCTCACCTCCTCCCCATGACCCTTCTGTAAGGGGATGTCCAGTTGCCTACACATGGACTTTGGGTCTCCACTCTGCACTCCCCCTTATTCACAATGATATGATATTTGGTTTTTGATGCCTGATACCTGATCCCATCTACACCTTGTGATCACACTGGCTGGTGTGCTTCTTCTATATGGGATTTCTTGCTTCTCAGCTAGATGGCCGCTTGTTTACCTTCAAGCCTTTAAGACCCCAGATGCTATAATTTTTGATAGCCAGGCACCATCAACTTTCTTCACCACATTTCCTTATGCATCCGCTTTGTCTTTAGCGATTGTGTCGGGAAGGTGAACATCATGGAATGCCAGTTTAATAGAAAAAGTGTTCTTGTATTGAGGGAGTACTTGAGTGGAGGCCCAATGTCCATCTGGTAACTTAATACTAAGCCTATAAATATATATACATAGGTCTATTTCCCCATCATCATTTATAAATATATTTACATATGTACATGACACTCATATGTGTGTAAGAGAGAATTTTATATCAAAGAGTAATTTTACATTTTTAGACCTCTATAAATGCTCGTTGCCTCCTAGTTCTTTCCTCTATTTCCTTTTACTTTCCTCTTGTCCCACTATCATGCTCAGCCTTCATTTGGGTTTCAATAATTCCAAATAAATTGTTTTATTGGAGATCTTACAGCTCTTATAACAATTCATACATCAATTGTACCAAGCACATTCGTACATATGTTGCCATCATCATTTTCAAAACATTTTCTTTCTACTTGAGTCCTTGGTATCATCTCATCTTTCCCCCCTCCCTGCTCCCTTCCCCCTCAGGACCCCTTTATAAATGATGAACAACTATTGTTTTCATATCTTACACTGTCCTCTGTCTCCCTTCACCCACATTCCTGTTGTTT